TGAGGAAACAAAACAAAACACAAAAGATCACAAACTTAAGTTTGACTTTTTAGGGGGAGGAAAGCATTTTAAGACAATTATTTTGCCTACTTAGATTTCAAGAGACATTTTTCCCCCTTACTGTTGTTACTGTTGCTGCTATGAATGTACATCACTAACAACTTCTTTGGCCCAGATGCAGCACAAAGCAAAGAACTATCAGATCCAGAGTCACATCAGAAATCAGTACACAGAAGAGGTAAAAAGGTGTGAAAGAAAGAATGCCTGAAGGCTGGGGCCTGAAAAAGAGAGAAGAGGAGCTGGGGGTAGGGAAGAAACATCAAACAGTGAAGCCAGGCTTGAGAGCGTGCCCTTTTCCTACATTTAAATGACTGGATGAGCTCAAGAGCGTTACTGCAGTGGACAGGCTGTTAACACAGTTAACATTTCATTTCTATTTCTTGTAAATTGTTTTAGATACTGCTGGAGAAGTAGATTTTAAATTAAACATTCTGCTACATGATCTGAATAGCCAAGAACCTGCAGGTGTGATGTGTACATAGAGTCACCTATGCAGGTTTAGGACCCAACAACCAGGATCATTTTAATCCAAATCACCTTTAATCCCATCTTAAAAAAAAAAAAAAAAAAGAAAAAGGTAACTGAAAGTGACTCACTGCAGAAAAAACGGTATTTATTCCACTCTTATCCAAAACCATTAACCGTCATTCACATTCAAAAGCACTAATGTGAAGTAAGAGTGAGACGCTAAATGTGAGCCTCATGTTTGCCTTTCAACATCAGCTATAGTGAAGCTCTGAACAATGCAGATTTTTCCTTAAGGCATACGGTCCTTGGGTAGATAAACAAGAGTTACACCCTCTCTAAAAATGTCTTTATTCAAATCTAGAACATGCATTCTGTTTTTATACCCGATCTAAGTACTTCCTGAAAGCTCAAAATGAACAGGTCAGTTTGGCCATCCTGACTAGGAAAGCAAAGGCATTCTTCCCAAACGTCTCAGGTGAGTCAAAACAAGCCTTTTACATATACAGAAGGCATAGGATTTTTTTTAAACTAAATCAACATAATCAGGAGTTCTTTTTCTTCCAATGCATATACAGACATTTACATTACCCTTAATCTGGTACCTTTTATTCTCATCTCCATAGCTTATACTATTATTAGGAAACATACACTTGTATCAACATACTTATTTATATGACGACTACCTCCACATTAACAATTACACTGTTACAGTTATGTCAATAAAAAACATCCCCTATATATAAATATAAAATATTAAATAAAATCTAAACATAGAGCAGATCTTAATTTAATGTAATAAAAGAATACTGTAATGCTTGTTTAGTTGCAGGCCAATATAGCCAGCTGTTGCCTTTTTTTTTTTAAAGAAGCATGTTACAGGCATCTTAAAAAAAAATTCCCAGCAAACAGCATTATTAATAATCAAACTCGGATGAACTAATAATTTAAAAAATACCCCATCCTTGCCCATGCAGATAAAGCAAATCAAATGACACCTGTGGACACCGATCAGCTGCTGAATTGCAGCCCTATAGATAATTCACTGCCTCTCTCCTGGCAGCACTGTCCTACAGAATTTAGACTATGATCCCCATCATATCCAATACTGTTTTCTTCACTCCCGATGTATAAAATTTTGGGTCTCTTAAACCAACTTCAAATAGTGGAGCAAAGATAACTTCCCCTTTATGGGGGAAAAAAAAAAAACAAAACCCAACAAAAAAACAAACCACAAACAAACCAAAACCCCCAAAAAGCTCCACTCCAATAAATTGCCTATCAAGCCACTAAATCTTATTTGCAGCCACCTCAAAACGAATACATTAACCCATGAGCACTGTCTTTACTCCCACAAAATCATTTGTTACAATTTCTTTCTTCACAACAATTAAATCAGCTGCCATCTTAATAGGAAGTTATAAAATACACATTTGGACTGTATGACTTCTGACTACTGATAAGATTCAGATATGGTTATGTATTCCAGGAATGCTACTTTAAATTTTAATATTTACTTTCAATATTTACTATTATTATGGAGTGGTAAAGCTGTGTTGGAAATAATCTATTATTCACTCCGCAGTGTGTCAGAAGCACAACTTACCTTCCATAGAAAATCTGTACGTGCATTCATCTAGAATTTAATACCGAATTGAGTAAACTGTAGAGTTCGGCTTGCTAAGTACCTAATAAATGCTACTTTATACTATGAAAGCTTAATTAAAATGCTGCTGTAATATAGCACTGTAAGCGACACATACCAATTCTGAAAATGCTAATGGGCATCTTCTGACAACTGGTAACTTCTATCCTACGTATACAGAAAGAAAATTAAGTTATTCATCTCATCCTGGAGAGCACATACAGTCTTCCTAGACGTTTTGTTTGTGCAGCTAATGCTTAACGCTGTAGGGCATGAACTTTCCCAAACAGTCATGAAGTTCCTCTCTGGTAAAGGTTTTTCATTCCTAAGCATTCTGAGCAGCAGACACTGTTCACCACTTGTTTGTCTCACCTACAGGCAAAGGCAGCCACCTTTCACCTTCCACATCCCTTGCATATCCAAACATCTTCCTCCTAAAACTTAACACAAGTGATCTTACAAGCTCTTAATGACTTTTAAGCTCTAGGAATTCCACACAATACACTTTCAAGCTTTTAATGACTTTTAAGCTCTAGGAGTTCCACACAATACACTTTTCAAGCATAAATAGTAGTAACCTAAAGAGATGCTTTCTATAAACCTGTCTGATGGACCATCACTTCAAGTTAAAAAAAATAATCTTTTTTTAATAATGGGGCACTAAAATTGTATCAGTTTGCAATGATCTCAGAGAGTTGTCACCAAACACTGGAAGTGTCTCATTTTTATTAGACACCAAAAAGTAATTTTTAAAAATGAATTAAGAAATAATAATTTTAGTGAAGGGCAGCTTACTATTAAAAAAAAATAGTACAAAAACATTTAGCTTCCTATTACTTTTGGAGGACAGCACGTTATTCCTTGCATGTCAAAAAGGACATCTCCATTTTGACTGAAGTATAAGTTATTTGCTGTAATAATCATCAGGAAAGGTTAACAACCACGTTACAACCAATCAGCCTCAAGTGCAATGTTGTCTCTTTTTAGTGCTTTAAGATTTCAACGCATACCATGGTAGATGTTGATCTGCCGATACCAAATTGCTGCCCAGCATCTGCAAATACACATCTAAAAAGGAACCAAGCTTTGGTTTGGTTTGTTATTAAAAGCAAAAAAAAAAAAAAAGCAGCTTTTCTGTTTTTCTTAAGCAGGATGATCCATCTTTCTCACCTAGAAGGATGGCAACTTGTAATTATTACAGTTACCGGAGTCCCCAAGTGAAAGTTTTTCCAAGTAGCTGAGGAAGCAATGCTGGTGGCCTGCAGCACATACAGGCTGTGCTACAGAGGAGCCAGCTCAGGTTGGTCCATGCCACCCTGACAGGTAGGAATCACGTGTCTCCATTCTCTCAAATACACCTTGTACCTCCAAACAGAAATAGAACATAATAGTAAAAATAAATCGAAACATAGCTAGTAAAAACCACCTTAAAAAAAAAAGGGGGGGCAATTTCCCTAAAAGGAATGAAAACCTTTTTCACACCTACCAAGTGGCTTAAATACATCCAACAAATAAAGACTATCATCAAAACGTCAAAGTGCCCAGTTATCCGGACCCTCACCTACGGCCCCAGACAAAGCGCTCGATGCTTTAGCAACGCCTCACACTACAAGTTTCTGCCGCCGCAGCCATGCGCTCAGAATGTGTGAAAAAAAAAGCCATGCAAGTTTATAAAGCAAACGGCACCGCAAGACACAACCACGCTTTGATAGCGACTAACATCCTCCACAGAGCCTCGCGTACAAGCCTGG